TCTCTCTCTCTCTCTCTCTCTCTCTCTCTCTATCCTAACTTTCACTACAAATCAAAAGCTTAACTCAAAATTTTCGTCGGACTTACCGTTGAGTTAACATTGATGTCAATCATAAGGATTTACTGTGAAATCAAAAGCATAACTGTTTTTAAGAAATAAAAATGATATTTATTTAAGAAATAAAGCAACCATTATAAACCTAGGTCTATTTTATCATTTAATGTACCATTTTATTTACTATAAACACTTATTGATTAAACAGGGCAATATTACAAGGGTTTAATTTAATTTACAATCAGTTAATGGCATTTAATATAATTATAAGTTATAAACTTTTGATATCAATATAGTTTTATTGAGTTATTTATAGATAATAAATTAATTAAAATTATAATTTAATTACAACCAGGTAATTTGGATCGAGGCCGAGTGCTATCCTCAGCATTTCTAGAAGGTAATAATAAAACTTTTTATATTAAATAAAGTCATTTTAATTGCAATTAAACGTAATATAATTATACTTCTGCCATAATAACCGTCCAAATGCATTATGATTAAAATTATAGATTATATAATAATAGATATAAACAAAAAATCTATGGGGAATGGCGTGTGTCGTGTGCCTTGAATGCCATTCCCAACGTCTAGTCTAGACTTATTATGAATACAATTAGTTTTAGTAATATTATTATTAATGCATTATTTTATAATCAGATAATCGGTAAATGAGATTAAATATAATGAAAAATATATACAGAGAGAAAACTTATATACAGTATATCTAAACCCATAATACATTTAAAGCATTGAAATTACTGTTAATTACTAAATAACCATCATTGTTATTCTGTACCACAACACGACATGTGCCTAACCCTATCATACCTTTCCTAAATGGCATACCATATACTTCCCAACCGATTCCACACATATTAAACTAATTCATTATTATTATTATTATATAAAACATGGTCAAACAGGTCGCACCTATTTCAACACCCATTCCCGTCCGGCGTATCTGCAAATAGAGCCGATAGAGGCTAAGGATGCCGGCGACTACCGGTGCCGCGTCGACTTTAAACGGGGCCGCACAGTGAACACGGTAATTGCGCTCAAAGTGATAGGTAAGTTTTAAAAATATATTAAATTAATCTAGCTAACAATTCGCAATGAATATGATCACTATGGGGCCTAGCTGTTCATTATGATCATTTTCATTTATATGTATTTCAGTTATCCTGTATATTATATGAGAATTTAGTATATAATTATTATTTCCTGGTTAATTATATAACTGAAATTTGTTTGATAATAGATTTATTTAATTATAAAAACTAAGTGCGTATACTATGCAGTAATTTATCAAGGTCCTTTACAAAAGTGAGTAGTGTAATAGAAATCAATCTAAATAAACACAGAATTAACAATACATTACGATCGACAAATCGATCGGTCATTACATACATGTATTTATATAAACAACAGCCACTTAACCCCTATTATTATATGAGGGCGAGTGTGCCTTATTAGGGAAATCACCGGGAGCTAAACAAATGCCCATCATCACAATATAAATATATACCATCTACTTAGCAGTAATATATATACATATGATTACATATATTGATCACTTAATATACAGTACCGCCAAAAGAGCCGCAAATATTTGATGCCAGCGATAACGAACTGAACGGTATAGTCGGCCCATTCAGTGAGGGCAACGAACTGACGCTCAAGTGCTCAACCCGTGGAGGTAATTGTCAATGAGTTAATTACCATATTATATAATATGCACCACTTATACAATGGATATAATCTGTATATGTATAGTAGTAATGGTATTCATATATAACAATATTAATGTTTGGGTCATAATCAGCATATAGTGAATAATATAGACATGTGGCGACTCTATGTCTGTATGATATATAAATTTATTATGGTATAATTTTATATACAATGTATATAGATTAATGGTATTTAACGATGGTGTTAGTTGTATATTATAATAAACACCCTATCTCGTTTTTATTTTGTTGGTTTTATGAAGTGTAATAAGTCGTTAACGATTTTTGTGCCATAAAAGTTATATACATGTATTTTATAAAACACAATTTTTAGATTAGGGTCGTTTAAAAAATGGCTAGTGTTAGAAATTGCTGGTATTTTTATTTTGGATATCGATTATTAATTTTAATGTCCATTTGCCTCAGCGCCTGTCAAACGGCTAATACATGTGCAAAATATAAGCAGTATATCACTATTACTGTTGTCTAATGTATAAAGCATTGTATATTATGTGATATAATATTGTAAATCATTATATTTCCTATCGCAAACATTTTATCCCATTTTTTGTGGGACTAATGTTTTGCTCATTAGTGAGAAGTTTGTGTTTATTGAAGAGTAAGACGAAGAATAAATGCCAACATTTTTTTCAGTGATTGATTTTAATGGAAACTATACTGTATTTTAGATATTATTCACACATTATATCCTATTAGGCTCTCTCTCTCTCTCTCTCTCTCTCGTCTATTAGTGACAACAAATCAATTAACAATCTCTCCGCTCTCTCGACACCATTTACTATCGGTGCTGATGTGTCAGGCCGTCAACAATAACATAACCACTCCCTCCTCGACGTCCATTACGCTCGATATGAACCGTAAGTATGATTTTATTTCATGTAATATACATGTATAATATGTGTTTTTACATTCATGTAATTTCCCATGATCCC